AGCCCCAATGGTCTGGCGTGCTGTTTCCCTCCTGCTCTGGGAAGCGATCCTGCAGATGGTGGCGCACAATCTGTCGGTTTTGACGTTGGGATGTTACTGAAGGTCGCCCACTGCGTCGACGGTTTGGGATGCTGTTAGTCACCTGATACCACTCCTGCAGTCGGTAGATTGTCCTAACATGAACATTAAAATGATTAGCTACCCTCGATGCAGTCTGGCCAACTTGCAGTCGTCCCAAGACTTGGTTCCGCTGATCTCTCTTAAGTCGTACCATGGCGATTGTGTCAAAACAAGAATGATTTCAGGCGAGTTTGGGACCCGCTTTCATTGGTAGGGTTGTCACGATATGCACGTACATTTTTATTTTCACGAATGTAATACGGAACCTTTAACCACGTCTGCCTTTTAGGTGCGTTTGGTCGATATGTTTTTTCATCAGCAAACACGCTGATGTTGGTAATAACTGTCATTTTGGATTGAAAACATGTCAACAAAACGATACAATCATAAATAAAAACACCATTTTGTAAGAACAAAATCTTGAATTCCGTTTTGAAAGGCGGCGTTTCTTTTGTGGTTCAGTATATATATCTTAAAAATATGTCTCCTAAAAGCAAACAAAACATGTTCTTATCACCAACCTCTCGGTATTATCACACTTACACAACACCAACATTAAGTAGCATGTGTCACACACGACGATCAATTAATTATCTTTACCATTTATTTCACGTAACACTTTAAGCATAACATGACACTTGGAGTGATATCGACTTCATTGATTCATTGCTTTCGCAAACCCTTAGTTCAATACTTAATTAGCTTTATTCTATACACTGGCGTCCAGAATTCACACCAAGAACATGTTTCAAGTTTCAACTCAACTTTGGAGCACTTCCGACATATTCCACAGACAATTAAGATCTCATTACTGCCTTGCATGGCAAGAGTTTCCGATTAAATTCTTTTAACCGTGATTGGAATATAATTCCAGAATGTTTAAAGAATTTATCGTCTTTTTCCTCACATTACCCAGTGTACGTGATTCGTACTGAGATATTATCCACACTTTTCAAAATAGAATACCATTTCATTTATCAAGATTACATTCAATCCCCATTTCGAAGAATGTGTTTGTAAAACAGGTAGCCGTATACAAGAAAAGTGAAATGTCATGGACACATTTGGCTTAATGAGATATTTTTAGCACAATGCCTGTAGCGTAAATACATGATCGATTTAGAATATGGAGAAAGGAAACAAGATCCTAGGCGTCGTGTGTTTTCTAAATTAGACGTAGAAACCGTCACTGAGATGTTCAAAAGAGAAGTGCTCCTGTAGTTGATAGGATCCGTCTTAATTCCCCTTTTGTATAGTGGTAATACCATCCTTAGAGTCCATTCCTCGAGAGACAATCTGCAACCATGCTGTTGCAAATATTCTTACAATATTGATCATTTACTACCAAAGACCATTGGCTGTTACTATAGATGAGCCTGTTCGTTGAACAGTTGACAAACATGACATACATCTTTACCAACCACGTGCCTATATGTGTGTGTTGTTTCCACTGATTTAAATTTCATCTGAGGTTTGAAACTATTCTTTATATGTTTTGATTTTTTATTGCTTTACACCACTCAGCTAACTCCAGTGGTCTCACAATGTCAACATCCTCATCATATTTATATGACACTGGTCCACGTTCATCATAAAATACAAGTCCTGGATAAGCAGGAACGTTGACAACAAGAATCTTCTTTTGATTGTGATCTTTTGTATCGATGCTGACTGATAATTTCTCTGTATCAACATCAAAGTTTCCATTCACTGCAACCATTTCCCTCTCAATCTTCTCCTTCAGATTCGTCTTCAAGCTGGTTTCTTCTTCTTGTTCCAAAGGAATTCCTGATACCTCAGAAGATATTGTTTTGTATCGTCTTAAGAATCTAACTTTTTTCACGTATCCCACAGTAATAGGTTCCACCCTCATCCTGTTTGGAAAAAGCACTGATGGTTTCACCTAACTTCAGGCTGTTCCAGATTATGTTCGCTTTGTCTGTGGCACTAGCCAATCGATATTTGCGAGGAAATTGCTTCAGCTGTACATGTCTACTTTCATGCAGATCATCAAACGTGGTATGTCCTGTTTGAAGTTGTAGCCTGGTCCCGACCGTCTGACTTTTTGATGGCAGGTCTCTCATGAATGTTCCAAGACTTGCCAGATCAAGATCAAGAAAACAGTCATCCAAAGGCACTTTCGTCTTCATGTCCACAGTGGATAATGTGCTGTTTGAAGCAACGTCAAACTGTATCACATAGCCATAATCTTCCAAACGTTTCCGTTTGAAGTTATTAAAAAATAGTTCACCCGGGGGTAAAAGTCCATTCAGTTTTGTATTAACCATCTCATCAAACCATCCAATGTATGTTCCAGGATCGGCCTCGTCCTTACCAACAAAATGTACAATAATACTCCCGCCACCAGAAATGTTTTGTAGAGCACAAACATTTCGCATGAAGTGATTCATAACTTCTATCCGTTCTTCAGTGAGCTCAGGATTCTCTTCTTTCTGTTTCTTTGATTTACTGTTGACAGCTGCTATGTCCATGTGCATACTCAGCACTTGTCCCGTAGCACCTTTTCTGACTTCTGAGACGCATTTGGCGCACAAAGGACACGATGTATCTATCAGCATTACATATGAGGGAGTTAGCTCTTTTCCCTGCACCTCACATTGATGCTTCTTGAGAACATCTTCCGTAGTTCTGATTACATCATGAACATCTGGGATAGAGTTTTTTCCTTCAAAGTTAAGAATTACCGATAGAGATCCATCATTATATATGCCTCCAAAGAGTTTTTTAAGATGGTCCTTGTATTTGTAATGCTCCTGGAGATGCAGACATCTCACGTTAGGAGAACCCTGAGTTTGGCCCAAATGGTGTCTACAGTTATCACATGGTTCTGCAAACAAACCATGTGGTAACATATATAAAACAGTTTAGAAACATACATTATATACTATACATATGTTTACTTATCACTATCACAACATACACACACACTAGGCGTCATTAATAAAGGGTCAAGTGATATATAGCACACCTAAAGAAAGGTTTCTCAGAAATAATAGAACTAAAAGCGTCATGATAATGTTTAATGTGTTGACAAAACGTGAAACATCGTGACATACAGACAAAAAGTTCAAACAGCACTAGCAATCATCAGTTGTATAGACCAACCCTCCGAATGAAAATGACAAACATGAAGCACTCGGTCATTCAATATCTTGTGTACCCTCCAAGACAAAGGTGCATCTTGTTCTCATGCTCCTTATCAAGTTCATAATGAAAACTTGCGGAATCGCATTCCATTCCTCTACTAGAGCTCTGCTGAGTCCTGGGAGATCCACTGGTGCTGAGTGACGTGTGTACACACGTCGACCGAGTTCATCCCATGCATGCTCGATTGGGTTGAGGTCTGGTGAGCATGCTGGCCACGCCATCCGCTCTACACCCTGCTGCCTAAGGAATTCTGTGACAATCCTGTCGGCAATCGTTGTCGTCTTGCAGTAAAGAGGGTCGACCATAAAAGCCATGCATAGCTTGCAGGAATGGTACTGCTATAGGAGCCACTATCTCGTCCCGATAACGCTGTCCGGTAAGATTACCGTCGACCACGTGCATTTGAGAGCGTCCAGTAAGAGTTACCCCTGCCCTGCCCAAACCATTACAGACCCGAAGATTTTACAACTTTTCAGAAATAGTGTTACCAATAGATTGACATCGAGTATATATTTTTACGACTGCGGTAAAACCCAGGCAAACCCACCTATTTGCTGGCAAATCTTCAAATAAGGGATTAGAACCAACGGTCTTAAGTTTCCGTCCGGGTTGTGGGTACATAGGATGGTAACCTCCAAATTCTAATCATACGCAAACCGTTGTGCATTCGTTTCTTGGCACGTCCTATAACATGTCCGTCGCTTTTCGTTGTTTAATATGTGAGGTTATCCCCACAATTGTTTTAATAATTTGAAAATAAAATTCCAAAGTCATTCAAATTCAAATAATATTTGAGATGCCAGTAGCCCATGTTGTGCGTCCAGCCGCATCAAGTGATTTTCACACCAGGCAGTCAACTGCTCTCTATGCGGATCAACGAGTATCTGGTGGCTCTAGATATATATATATATATATATATATATATATATATAAATAGTTTAGCGGTAATCTCCCGTATTGCCCACCTTCAAGTAGTTAATAACATGTTCCCCACTCTTAAGGACTACTTCCACGTTCTGTTTTTCCATCTTCTATTGCCTTATAATGAGAGGTATCCCATACATCAATCAATGTCAAAGTATTTGCAGAATAACAGCAAATATCTTGACAAAGTCGAGGTGTGGTATAGTAAGTTGAGTAAAATCCGGCTTTTAGTCTCACGAAAGACCCAAAAACACTGCCTTTGTGTCACTGTGGTAAGTTATAGATTAGCGTTTGAATGAATTGACAAAGTTATAAAAGTTCGTGTAGTCACACGAGATAATATTACAATGTATAAATATCATTTCTTATCGTACATAAAGTTTATCAAGCATATTCCACCAACCTGCAATATGCTCTCTGGGAACAGATTTCTTGGCCTATATGGAAAAAAAGAACTCATTTTAGTAATCATGAAAACGTATTCTGTGAAAGAATCGTATTATGACAATTGATCTCTTATACATTTTGAAGCATTCTTAACACCTATCACCTGACACCGTGACACCACTTGATACTTGAAGACACTGCTAGTGATGAATCTACGGTTGTGACATAGCTCGGTGCCATTGCATATGAATATTGCCCAGATTTCATATAGGCTCATGTAACGTAATAACATTGCATGACTTTATACATCAATTGACATAAAATTCATCCATCCATTCAAACTTACACATTTGGGTGGTGACTTTGTCTGTGTCTCCCCACCTGTACGTTTTCGCCCTGACATCATCACTGTGTGTATGTGTACAACAACAGTCTAGGTGGCTAAGGTATCGTCACAGGTTTATACTCTAACTTGAACGAGGACGGTTAACTGACGTTAAATAGGCATACACCGACCAATGAGTAAGGACCGCGTCGATCATTGTCATGCTGTTCTATCAACAGAAACTCGGCTGAAGGCTCAACTACAGCCAGTCGGCTCTGAGAAGACAGGCAGTAAACTGACAGAGGACTTTCGTGTACACGCTATCAAGGGTAAGATCTATTTATACACCTGCGCATATACAACACGAAGTAGTCAGTGACATACATATTTGTGTACATGTTATGTTATTTGGTATCAAACTGATCTTAGAAGACATTGATACACTACTCAACATAGTTAATTAACGCCCGAAGTGATTATCATCTTCAATTTGTATTTATAATGGGTTATATTTGAAAGATCAGATCTGCTTAAAATTAATTTGGTACGGGAACACTATGTTATTTTAGAAGAAGACACATAAACTGACGGGCAAAAAGTTAGTATATGACGTTTTGAACGTCCTGTAACAAAGACATACACCGAAATTTCCCAAAAATATTTAATGCATCATAATAAAAAAACACTTGAGCTGTAAATCACAAAAAATCAACAATTTCATTCAAGGAGTTTGTGAGCCGCTGTCAAGTAAACACGCAAGGGGTGGAATTTTGCATAAATCGATTATCACAATCTGAGTTTATGAGTCAGTAGCAGGGGCATTTCTTGAATACAGGATCTTGTGCACATCAGTATCGTGTGTGACCCCCTGCTGCGTCAATGCATGCCCTCACACGTCTCCTCATTGACGTCGTCAAACGTCGAATGACGTCATTGGGAATGCGGTTCCATTCCTCTCTGAGTGCTTGCTCTAGCTGTTGCCTGTTCTGTGGAACTTGTTGCCGACCTCTGATCTTCCTGTCCAGATGATCCCAGAGGTGCTCGATCGGGTTCATATCCGGTGAGCACGCTGGCCAGGGCAGGACGTCAACATTGTTTTGTTGCAGAAAGTAGCGAGTCTCTCTGGCAGTGTGAGGTCTCGCGTTGTCATGTTGTAGGAGTACACCCCGGGGTTGATTCTGTAGGAAGGGTACCACAACTGGCTGTAGGATCTGTCCGATGTACCCCCGTGCATTGAGATTGCCCTGCACTACAACCAGACGGGTCTTCTGGTCTCCACAGATACCGCCCCAAACCATGACTCCACCCCCGCCGAATGGATGAACTTCTCTGATGCATGGCCTTGCTAAACGTTCCCCTCGTCGACGATATACCCGTTCTTTGCCATCACACTTGTAAAGGGTGAAACGGCTTTCATCGGAAAAGAGAACACGTCGCCAATCTCGGACTTGCCACCTGTATACTTGCCTTGCCCACCGCTGTCTGTTTTGGCGATGTCTGAGGGTCAGGACCATTCCGCGGAAAGGCCGGTAAGCCCTTATACCAGCTAATCTCAATCTTCGGGTCACTGTGCGACGACTGATACGATGCCCGAGTGCCGTAGCCGCCGTCGACGTTGCCGTCACGAACCTGTTCCGGAGATGGATAGTCCGGATGTAGCGGTCTTCTATGGGTGTAGTGACCCGTGGCCGTCCACTTCTCGGCCTGTCTTGAGTGCTACCAGTATTCCGGTAACGTGTGAACAGCCTGGAGATTGTTGCTGGGGTACAGCCGAACGTTCTGGCAAGATGAGCTTGGGTAGCTCCCATATCGCGCATTCCAATGGCTCGCTCTCGCTGAATTTGTGTCAGCTTCGGCATTTTTTGCATGTGCTTTCAGTTACTGTGATATGCCAGCGTGTATCCATCCCATTTCTACCCGACTGATGCACGTGCATGTTCGTGATTTTCAAAGATTACATGTTATACCTTTTACTCGTGCTAGGGGTCACGTGACTACATCTACTGACATCACTACCATTCTGCAATATTCTCGTGACTTAGACAATGTTTGCTTTGGATGTTTCATTGGAATTTAGACATGCTCAATTTCCCCAAACCAAATTGAAAACGTTTTACTAACTTTTGCCCGTCAGTTTACATTTCACATTGTCTGATTTATAGTAGCATGGGAAGCAATTCCAAGGCTAGTCATCAAAATACTAATACCTTGGACCACTTATAAACCGTTATTGGAAAATTCATTTTGGTTCGTCTATTTCAATATGACGATCACAAGCTATGCTTAAAGAGCATTAACTTACTAACTTTAGAAATATCTAATAAACTGTGCTAATCTGTGTTCTTACACTATAATCTAACTTGTAATTGTATTTGGTAAGTTTATAAGTGAAACATATACCATTCCTTATGGCTTTTTCATCTGTTCACACGTTTTGTTTATCTTTGATGTTTCCGAATCGAGTAAAATTGTATCTCATCTGATTCGATATATGTCGTCTTGTATTTTAGACTAAAATGCAAGGTACAGTTCGGATTGTACTGGTGGGTAAAACTGGAAGCGGCAAAAGTGCAACTGGGAATACCATACTTGGAAGACCAGCGTTTGAATCCGCTGCGAGGGCTATCAGTGTGACCAGAAACTTTCAAAAAGAAAGACGTGTTCGTTACGACAAGGTCATAGAGGTTTTGGACACACCACACATATACGGGAGAGGACAAACTGTTTATGTGGATGAAAACCTGAGTTATGCTCCTGATGTCATACTCCTTGTAACACAAGTTGGACAAACCGATGAAACAACTGCGGATATGGTAACTGATATGATCAAGGAGTTTGGGGTCGATATTGAGAACCATTTGGTCTTTGTATTTACCAGATCAAACGAAATGTCCGCATACGGTATGTCACATGATCAATTCATTCAAAAGTTGCCAACGTCCATGAGAAACACGGCAAGAAAATGTCCGTGTGTGTTTCTGGACAATGAGTCTTCAAACTCAGAAAAAGAGGACAAGGTTCAAGAACTTCTGTCTGCAATAGAAGGTATGACACGGAGAAATCGTCCAGAACATTTTCTTTTCAAACGGCGCTACTATCTTCGACCACGAGTTTAAATACAACAACTTAAGGAATATACAGATCTGAACAAAGCTGGATAATAATACAATGACTAATCACTATTGAAACTACTCCATGAAAAGTGTTCACATATCCATAATTTGAAATTGGACCTTCACCTTATCCTGATAACAAGGAGAATATACATAATGGTGATCAGTTTGACTATTGACTACTGACAATTCCGACCTCTCTTCCGATATTGGCGATATAAATGGATTCGACTCACACATTAGAAAAATGTGTCCTAGAAAAATCACATAATGTGATCGTTTCTGTGTGCTTTTATCATGTGCAGTGTCAAACATAAGGTTTCATTTTAAATGCATTATATATTTGTGTGCTGTGCCATTGTTCTGTTTCCATCCAAACAGATCAAATTTCATTTTTTTAAAGTGCAGGTATCATGTGTCAGAGAAACATACCTCCTACATCATTATATGCAAATTAGTTAACCCAATCATGATTGGCTATCTTCGTTTTCTCCTTGACATATGACTTTCGATAGTTTGAATTTCGTGAACAATGAATGATGTTCTAACAATAAAATGACATCATTTTAAAATGAAGAACTTTAATTTTTTTTCATTCCCAGTTATGAGTTGGTGCACATTTCGCGAGAATAAGTGTGATGACGTGATCATCAATTATTGCACCAACCATGTGACTGCTAGGATATCGATGTTAAGTGATGTTATATCCATAGGCCCCCACTGCGGGCCAGAACATCGATTAACTACCGGTAATTCCTGGTATCGACCTAAGTGGTGGGCCTAGTTTATCGATTTTCTACGGATCAATCGATAAAGTAATTTATTATTTACCAATCGACATTCAACAGAAAACAACGTCGATCAATGGTACAACTCCCCTGTGTGTGTGTGTGTGTGTGTGTGTGTGTCTTTCACCACAGCTACGGTCTGGAGATGGAAAACAGTTCATACTGTGTGTAATATATCCTTGCTATCCCTCAAGATATTGAGTAAACTTGGAATCACTGCTAAAAACGCCTCCATTTCCCAGCCACACTTGCAATGAAATTCAAGGTGACAGGTAAAGGCGCTCCATTCGGGATTCGGGGATTTCCCATATTTAAGCCCTGGGCTTAATAACGGAAAAAGACCCTTCTCGTTCACAAATAAAACAAAACATAATTAAGCCCAAGGCTTAAATTCGGCAAATGCTTGTAACTGGAGAAAATGATCTTAAGACACGATAAAATTGAATGAACTTTAATATCAACGGAATAATACAGAAACCTGAACCTTAGACAATCATCCAAGAACTGTCTTAAACCTGAACTTGAATGACACCCCCTCTTTTATATTTACATACTTTACTGTTCTTGGGGAACGTGTCCTATGTTATTGCCATATTTTATTGCGACTGCGTGTGAGTGGTAGAGATTAAGGTTGTCTATATGGGTAAAGAGTACCTGCATGACCTCTCTTGGGACTTCATGTAAACATGAAAACTCAGTAACTAACGTGCACTACTAACGTTATATATGCTAACGTTTGCAATGTGCTGTTGCAAAAGGACGTCACTCTAAACAATAACATCTGAAATCTCATTTATGTCCCATGGGCTTAATAACGGGAAAATATCCCGTTATTAAGCCCATGGGCGTAATTATGAGTGGGCTTAAATACGGGAAATCCCAGTAATTAATTTACATAAATAACTTTTTTTGGCAGAGCAGTCAACTATATACTTACAAGTTCCATAAAAATAATAGAGTCATAAACTAACCATAAACAAAAATAGCAAAGCGTACGTGAACTTTGATGTCACGTATCGCGCGTGGCACGTGCAAAATGAACTTACTCACTTTTTGCAAAACTTCTTTGAGTGGCATTTAGAAGTTGGAGTGATGAACAACGAGGAGAGTTCTATGGATAGACAACTTCTTTATATACTCCTCACAAAAAATTAAGCAACAAGTGTATTTTTGGTCAGTACATATGCCTTTACTCATGATCATTACAACTGAATCAAACATAACAAAGATAAAGCATATCCACACACTTTTCCAACAAAGAAATCAAAATTCATTGAACAATAACTGACTTGCAAATCATCAAAAACAGTGTCACTGAAAAAGCCGTGCAAAATGTGTTGCATCAGGGTATGAAAATGTCTGAAAACACTTTTACTGTCAGTTTTGAGCACTGATCCAAAGTTTAATAACGTGTATGGCCACCATTGACCTGAATACACGCTTCAAGACGTCTAGGCATTGACCAGATGAGTCTGTCTAGAGTCTGTTGTGGAATGTTCTGCCATTCTCTCCGCAATGCCTGTTCAAGCTGATCCAGAGTCTGAGGACGAACGTGGAGGCCGTACACACGCCTTCCGAGGATGTCCCAAGCATGTTCAATAGGATTCAGGTCAGGAGACCTTGCAGGCCAGTCCATATGGGTGATGTTGTTGGTCTGAAGAACATCAGTGACAACTCTTGCTCGATGTGGACGGGCATTGTCATCCATGAAGATGAAGTTAGGACCTGCTTGCTGAGCCCACGGAATGATCACAGGTGTGACAATTTCGTCTCGGTACCTCACACCTGTCATGGTACCTCGTCTGATGACCACAAGATCAGTTCGTCGTCCAACTTGGATTCCTGCCCAGATCATCAAACTCCCACCTCCATACTGATCATGTTCAGCAATCGTACAGTTGGCGTATCGTTCGTTACGGTTTCTCCACACACGAGCCCTACCATCATTGAAGTCCAGACAGAATCTTGACTCATCTGTGAAGAGAACATTACGCCAGCGATTGACTCTCCAGTTACGTCGTTGGTTAGCCCAATTCAGTCTCTGTTGACGATGGTGTGCAGGCAGTGGGATACGTTGCACTGGTCTTCGGGACCTGAGACCTTCAGCATGGAGTCTGTTCCTCACTGTCTGTGTGGAGATTCTGTTCCCAGCAACTCTCTGGAGGTCATTCTGGAGAGATCTGGCTGTGGTGAACCTGTTCCGCCGGGCTAGGGTGGCCAAGTATCGGTCCTCTCTGGGAGTTGTCACCCTTGGACGACCTGAGCGTGGTCTCTCAGTCATCAATCCGGTCTGTTGGTGACGAGTGATCGCTCTGGAGATGACGCTTCGATGAACATTGAAATGGTTGGCAACAGCACTCTGGGTCTGACCCCCCTGCACCATTCCAACAATTTGAGCAACTTCAATTGGTGTCAAGTGACGCCTAGCCATTTCTCAAATGTTACTGTCAACAATTTGTCGTTGCTGGCAGTTTTAACGCAATCAGAACGCATGTGCGACGTGTATAGCACATGTTTTCCATGCATTTTGCATGTGAGTTTTGAGGGTGGTTGCGTTCAGGCGGTGCTAACAATGTTATCAGAAAAACAATATGGGAAATGCTTTAAGTTCATCAATCGTAAAGGGTTCTCCTGCATGGCTTATATGCCAAGTAATAACTTCATATACCCATGAAGAAAATATGTGGAAAAAAATACTTGTTGCTTAACTTTTTGTGAGGAGTATATAATATAAGCGACGTTTCGGTGTAGCTACAAACACCAAAACGTCGCTCATATTACATTAAACACCGAAACGTCCCTCATATTACAATAAAGAAGTTGTGTATCCAAGTTCACACACATGATATTAAAGATTGAAGAACGGTTGATTATTCTCTGGTCTCTGAGAGATGTGGAAAACAGGTTTATTTCAACCTAAACTGCGCGTACGTCATGCCACGGCTTACAGAAAATCGGCGTCTCCGCGCCGTGGATATGCTGGAAACAAGAATGGTCCAAAATGAAGTGTCCAGGCATTTTGGTGTCCATCAAGAACACGATCTCATATGGATACGTTTTCCATATGATGGAAACACGAGAGATTTGCTGCGGACTGGCCGGCCACGTGTGACGTCTCGTCACGTAAGACCCCCTTCACACTTGAGGCGGAATGAGCCGGAATGCCGTCAGAATGAAAATTCTTGGGGATTCCTGGAATTCGAACTGCATTCTCAGGCCTACCAAAGAAAACTTTCCCACCGTGCAGAAAAACGCAGAAAAGCCCACATTAATCGTGGAAATAGCAACATAAACATAATACCTCGCTACTGAAACAGTGACGGCAACTTTAGATCGTTAACACTGCATCATAAAACGAGGAGCCCGCAACTTCGATTTTGCGCATGCGCACATGGAAGAGGAAGTCTCGACTCCATGTTGACATTTTCCAGTTTGGACAAAAAGTTACATTCCTTTTTAAGTATTACTGTTGTGTAATTTGGCATATATCATCATGATACTTGTGTGCACACTTGTTTAGTTTACTTTCCATGAAACAACTGATAGCAATTATTTCGACATATTTAATACTTTTTTTACGCTAGGCGATTCACGGTTGCTCGGAATTTGGAAAGAAGCCCGGATCGTAATGCGCATGCGCAGTAGAGGTCAAAGTTCGCTGACAACTATGAAAACTATGAAAATGTTGCAGTTTCATAGTTTTTCGTTGCAGTTTTTTTTCAGTAGCGATGTGTTTATGTTGCTATTTCCACGATTAATGTTGGCTTTTCTGCGTTTTTCTGCACAGTGGGAAAGTTTTCTTTGGTAGGCCTGATTCTAAAACTTCTTACTCCATTCCCAATGCACTCCAACTATTCGTGTCAATTCTTGTAACATGCCCGAATCTTTTGAACATGATCAAAACTTTCGAGGTACATTCGAAATGGAAAAATATCGAACAACATTTGAAGTGTATTCTAACTACATTCGAAGTATTCTGAACGTATTCGAGGAAGAATAATAAATTAAAGCCACTTCAAATCCTGCAAGAATGTCCCGAATGCTCCTCGAATGTACTTCGATTGCTGGTGGAATTTAAATGGAATATTCTTCAAACGTATCGGAATATTTCGATTGCACTTGGAATACAGCTCGAATGTACATCGAATACACCCCGAATACAATCGGAACGTCCCTAATGCTCTTCAAATGAGCCCCTACGTCATCAGAACACCGCCGAATGGCATAAAAACGTAGCCACCTGTCACTGAAACTTCAGATATCATTCACATTTCAAGCTGCGCAAGTTGTCTCCAGCCTCTTGGCACCACGTTGTGCTGCTCATCTTCCTCATCCACCATACCATTGTGGAGATTAGGATACCGAGTCCCCATCAAGTTGTGCAGGCAGACACAGCATTCAATGATGTCCTTCACAACGGAAGACCTTGGCAGCATGGTGGTGAGGAGGATTTGCCAACACTGGGTCATGATTCCAAATGCATTTTCCACTACCCGTCGGCCCCTGCTGATCTTGCAGTTGTAGATTCTCTCGTCTCTTTGGAGAGTCCTATGACGATTTCATCA